TAGCCTCTCCCCATGCTGAGCCGCTCTGCAGAAGCCAGGAGAAGCAAGGGTGAATGAAGCATCCACTCCAGTGGTTGCACAAATGCCAGGCCCCTTAGCAGCAGAGAGGTGATTGACTTGTGGTGTTAATCCAAAAGTTTAGGGAAGAAAATACACTTCTGGAGTCACTTTCTGTTTCTCTGTCCCTTTCAATGCTGTTCACTAGACACAGGGGCTGGACTTTCTTGTGACGCAGAGGCGATTAAGGGGTGGGTGGATGTTTTCTGTGGTTCTCTGTTCCTCTTCCATGGCAACTCCATCTGCTAGCATAGAATACAGTCCATTTTCTCTTGAATTGCCACCCAGTCCTGTAAGCATAATTCAGCAAATTTTTGGTGTAGCAGAAATTCAAGATGGTTCTTCATGTTTAATAGCAGGGCAAATGGGCTTGGTCCAACTTTGTAGCTCACTAAACCCCACCACTCAGTAATACGTAGATGGGTCACCATTATCAGAAACATCTCTCTGGCATAGGTGGCCAGGTGTCCTCCACAGGACTGGAAAGCCACTACTCTTTTCCATTCCAGTCTCTTAAAAACTGCTATGTTCTCCAAGTGATGGCCAGCCTTTAAAGAACAGAAAGGTGACTTGGTAACGTTACCCTTGAAGGAACCAAACGCCATCTCAAGCGGTCCATCCATGCACTGTAAACTTTATAACACTTTAACAACAGTACTGCAGGCATCTTACTATTTTTTTAATCTCAGCTCCTTCCTAATGGGCTGCAAAAGTAGTCTGAAGGAAGGGGGTTGTAACAGCTGCATTCCCGGGATTCTAAAATGTATCAGTGTTGTGGCTTCCATAGCACAATTGCATGATGTGGGGGGATTTAGTTACTTTCCAAGGAAAAATGCAATATAATGTTACCCTTGTCTTTGACTTGGCAGGACATTCCGATGCCAACAAAGAAGCCATTCCAGTGGAAAGGCAGAAGTGGCCCCACAGAGCTCACAGAGAAAGACACAGAAAGACCTGTTTATTAGCATAGATGGAAGTCATGAGCAGTTCAAGTTTCTTAGAGCAAGGAAGGATTGGGCTCTTAGGCACAGTTAAGGCTTTCCTGAAAATGGAGAGTTGCACAGGCAATGGGAATATGTGCAGAGGGAACAGGATCATGCACTCAGAAAATCCATAGTCCAGTCGCTGGCGGCATGCTTCTAGGCCCTACCTACCGCTGTAGCACCTGCTCCTCTGCATGAACAAACAGCAGCCCCTCCTTCTCCTAGTCCTCCTCCAGTGGCCTGCCAGGCTGCTGCTGCGGCAGTGAATCCCACCACCACCCCTGACAGGAAGGAACATGCTCGATGCCTGGCACAACATCCTCCGCAGGCACCTGAAACCCCTTGGGAGGGGAACCCCCTAGAGCATTCAGGAGGGGAACGATGAGCCTGATCCAGTTCCGGTAGACCAGCTTGTGTACAGTCCCCAAATCCCACACTGAAGACATCCCCATTTGTCCCCCTCAACCCACACCCTCCAATATTTTGAAGCCATTCCTCCCTTGTCAGGGAGAGGGGAAGGGCGAGGAGACATATTTGAAGCAATTAATGTTTGACCACCTTTGAGGGAATCTGACCTGTTGTTGTTGTTGTGTATTTGATCTTGTTACGAACTGTTTTAGCTCTATGTTTGTCCATAAAAGTTACAGTTCACATCACTTGTGTGTGCACCTTGCTTTCTGAGTATGGTTAACAAGTTTTCCACACATTAGGGAGGAGTCAGCAGGATTCACAGCACTTGCCTGTGATTTCTACAAGTGTGGGGCCAAAGCAACGCAATGAATTCTGTCCCTCCTGCGCCCCGGCCCCCACCAGCCATGAATTTCCTAATGTTGAACAAAGAAACAAAACAACCAGGGTTCATTACAGTGAAGTAAACTGTGAAACAACTGTCACTGTCCAAAAGCGCCAGAATAAAAAACAGAAGAGGAGTCACCTGAGACGTCTTTATGGCTTTGTTATAATTGATAATACAGACAAAAGAAACAAAAATAAATTAGCAGTGAAAATATAGGACATTGAGCAGTGCATTTAAGACCCCTCCCCACACCAAATAGTTACCACTAGAAATCATGGGAGTACTCATGCATAACAGCTGATAGGAAATTTTTTTTGTGCAAGGAATGTGTGAATTCCCTCCCTAAATATTGCAGAACTTTTTAAAAATAACATTAACAATGCTTAAGTACACCCCATACAGCAACCCCAAATGCAGCAGTTAACATATAACAAACACGTTGCTCAATGATGCCTTTAAATTGCATTAAAGCTCACCTCACAAAACCATGGCCCAAGGTATTAACCTTGAGGGCTGTTCCTCAGTTGTTTGCTTTCAGTTAGTACAGTAACATCAACTGCAGGGGACTGAAACCCACTGAGGTATCTCACAATGTAAGTATATGGCAATGGTCTGTTGAGCTTTTCCAGTCGCACCAGAGGGTCACATTAACATCCCTTGGCAGAACTTCTGGCTCCCCAGTGTTCCATGATGTATGAGCACACAGCATCGCTAATTTCCCTGGCTCGCCGGGAACCAGGAGCTGTGCACACAGGGGAAGGATCTGGCTGCCTGTACAGGCTTTGAACAACAGATGTGTCCTGTGCCCACTTGCTGCGGAAGTATTCCCCCTTAGCCTGACACACATTGTGCAAGGCACAGCATGCCAGGATAAACTGAAATGTGCTGGCCACAAAGCTAGCTGGACAGGTCTGCAGGCATCACCAAGGGGCTTTCAGGCACCCAAAGGTGCATGCCACCACCACTATCCTGCAGCTACCGAGTCTGTAAGTGAACTTTCTTTTTCTGGGGTTGGTGATGTCAGGTTGACGTTCCATGAGCCACAGGTAGGAGTGAGTTTGTGGGGTCCCCAGAAAAAACGTCAGCACAGAAATACCATATAGAATCATATAGTTTCAGGAGAATAAAGTCCTTTCTTCCCCTCTGTGGTACAGCCCTGACCTTCTAAGCACATTGGTGTCATGGACCTTTCCTATGTGCCCAGCGTTCGTGTTCACGAACTGACCCTTGTAGTCCACTAAGTTTTGGAGAACCAGTGAATAGTGACCTTTGTGGTTCATGTAGTCACTGGCCCCTTTGGGTGGGCAAAGTATTGGGATATGTGTTCCATTGATGCTCCTGCACAGTTTGGCAACCCCACCCTCTGAAAACCCCCCTACCATTTCAGGGATTTTGGCTCTGGCAACCATTCATGGGTAGATCAAAGTGTTGATACCCTGGCAAACCTGTACAACCACTGCCTCGACAGCTGACTTCCCAACCCTGAATTGGTCTGCAACTCACCTGTAGCTGTCAGGTGTTACCAGCTTCCAAAGGGTGATATCCACCCACTTTTGCACTGGGGTATGGGTTTCCGAAATCAAGTGATTTGGCATTGGAGAGTTGGTGCAAGCTTCTTGTGCAATTCCATGAAGGTCTGCCTCCTCATTCTGAAGTGCTGCAGCCACTAATAATCAGCCCAGCTTTCCAAAACAAAGTGATCCCACCACACCATGACAGTTCTCCAGGACCAGAAGTGGTGGCCCTCCCATGGGCATACCATTGCACTTCCAGCACTCAACACACCTGTTTCTTGGGATCCTACTGGATTTCATCCCCCTCTCCCCCCACTCAGTAAGCTGTCTTTGCTGACTCAAATTTGTGTGGGTTGATTCTGTCCAGTATCCAGTACTGCACCGCAGGAACATTTGTCCAGTGAGGAAGCGCAGAACCACATCTCTATGTCTCCAACACAGTTTGGTAGAAGCGAGAGGGAGCTGCCATTGCCAAATGTGTGAAGGCGGAGTACAGTATCAGCAACACGTAGCAAGGCGGTTCACGGAGTGTCTCCTGTGATGCACAGGACTCTGGGTCACTGCCCCTGAAACGTTAGCACTACCGTGGCGGACAAAAAAGAGGCAGTGTGAACACAGGTATATGCCCTGTGCACAGCGTGTACCTGTTCCCCATTCAGCATATGTGAACACTCAGCACAGGTATGGGATACATGTGCAATTCAGTACACAGACAAGTACCCAGGGAAGCATGCAAACACAGAAGTAGCCTGTGAATTACACACACATTGTATGCAGTGTTGTTGTAGGTCCCAGGATATTAGAGGCACAAGGTGGGTGAGGTAATATCTTTCATTAGACCAACTTCTATTGGTGAGAGAGACAAACTTTCGAGCTTACACAGAGCTGAAGACCTGAAGAAGAGCTCTGTGTAAGCTCAAAAGCTTGTCTCTCTCACGAGAGAAGTTGGTCCAAAAAAAGATATTACTTCACCCACCTTGTCTCCCTATGACACACACATACAGACAGACACAGTGCTGTTAGCTAAGTGGTGGGGCCTATGTGGTTTGCAGAATCCTGTAGGTTTTTAAGAAAGCATTCTTTATATAAAATTAGCTAAACATTTTGCAGAGGTTTTTTGGACCCTTGTTGTGAATTCCCATATATGATGTAAATCCGCTTGCCTATTAAGACGACTGCACTTTGACCATTTTAACACAGAGTATAACATTCAGCACAATGACAACTGCAGTCTACCTTCCTGGACAAAGATCATTATTGTTTATTATTATTTATTATTGTAGCATCCACTATGTGCTAGATGCCTTCCAGACATTCAGGAATGTCCCTGTCTGAAGTGGTGACCTAGAGGTGAAAGGCTCTAGCCCATTACCAGTCATCTGAACCTTTCACCTCCCTAGCTACATTTATTTGTTGTGTGTTTATCTACTTTATTCCAACTATGAAATATGATTTTATTCATGTGAAAAGTGTTACAGATATTGGTAAAAAATAATAACATCAGAAAAAAAGATAGGTAACATTTTGGGCTTATGCTTATAGACCAGTTTCCTCTCCATGGTATTTGAGCACCCAGATATCATTGAGAACAGTCTCTCTTTAAACCAAAAGTTCAGCTGAAAACCCATCTAATATTAAAACACACTGTACCTCGATCAAAAGCCATTTTGACATCTTCAATGTGTTCAGTGAACCCCGAGACTCTGTAAAGGCCCTCTGACTTTAAACCTGCAAGGTAAACATCTGATTTAGCTTTATTTCTGCTATCAACAGATATGTATCAACAAATATTCAATCTTGTCAAATCTAGTCACAGTTATTTTATGTTATGTTAATAATCCCATATATGAAATGTGACACGAGCAATAATTTTAATGTTAAACTTCTGAATATTTTAAAGAAGAATTAAGGTAGTTTTTAAAGACTACAAGTTGGTTACATTTTCTGGTTTTATTAGTTTGGTAGGGAATACACAATATCAGCTACAAAATATTGCAATTTGCCTATACTGGCAGCTCATGGTGTGATCACTTCTTATTTGGTCTCTTTTTTTTCGGTCTGTAATTACTATAGCTTTAAATTCTGCCTTCCCTATGTCTGTGTTCTTAATTACCTATAGCGATGCCAGCAATTAACTCTACCTTCTTGTGACCCTTTTTGCTCTCTGATTTTGCTGTCAATCTTAACTGGTACGTGCAGCATGCACTGTTCTTTCGCACAACACATCCCTTCCACTGTTCTTTGCCTGACTGGAGATCTGTTTGCTGCTAGCCTCCACAAATCTTCTTGCACTGTTCCCATTCCTACAGGAAAGAAGCGTGGTCCAAGACAGCAGATACAACTAGTCAAAGTGGCTTACATGGCTGTTATTTGTTTTAACTCACCGGTTCCTTATTGTGACCATGCCCATATGATCACCCAACAAACAGACACTAGCCTTTCTTAGCTACTGAGCCTGTATCATGACCAAAACCAATATCCCAACAGGAGGGATTTTTAAAGTTCTTACAGCTGTTAAGGTATTGATAATGAAAGAGGACAACCAATTTAGTCTTAATTGACATTTGTAAAAGAAAGAATATTTATATATCAAATGCAATATAGCTTTCTAATGTGTCCTTTGCTATCATAGATACTTATGTTCTCTCTCAAACCCATCCTCTCTCTCCACTTGTTCTTGCAGTGATGATATAATCCTGGCTGAGATTTGCAGAGCAGTACAGAGGATTTAGCTGCAGATCTTCTATTAATTTTAATGGAAGATGTGTGGCTAAATTCCCTACACTGATTTGAAATCCCCATGTCTGGCAGCAGTGTGTTACCATGCAGATTACGATCATGTCAAAAATTCAAAAAACATGGCTTATCAGGTGGCACACCTCACATGCAAGCCACCAATAACATATACATGATCATTAGCTTGTAATCATTTTGTACTTGGTGTTATTGTAATTTGTAAATGTGGAATGCATGTCAGTGCAGTAAAAGACAAATCATAAGCTGTTTTTTTGGCTGTGACATGTTGCTTGGCTATGTCATTCATCAGTCAGAAACAGAATGTAATGTGAATTTCACTAGGAGAGGGGCTTGCCACAGGTCGCAAAATGTTGCACTCCTCTTTCACGTTTTGTGTGAGCCATTTCCTTTCTTTTGTGTTCTCTCGCGTATGATGTTCTGAAATAGTTTAAAATTAAAACTATTCATAACTTTCACGGAATTAAACTCTGATTGCTTTGAAATGAAAATATTGTCCATATATCTGCCAAAGGTAAATGAACCAAGTGAAAAGACACATAAATGAGTTTAAAGTTTGCCCTTTTAAAAAGTATGACATGAATAGTTTTCATTCTAGAAGAGATATCTAATATATTTTTTAAAAAGCAATTTAAATAATTTGCATTCAGAAATGACAGAACTGGACTTTACTAGCCAATGCAAAACAATAGAATTTTTACTAAAAAAACTACTTCTGTCCACTCTTCCATTTACTTGGGCCTATTTTTTCTCCCAACTTAACATGCAATTCAAAGTTGATTTAATTTTTGTGTGTATCTGCTACTCCTTGATCACAATTAATGTAATATTATAGATCTAGTGACATTCCACTCTAGTCAAACAAAGAAAATCATGCAAACCTCTTGCTTCTATTTCTCGAATGCATATATCCACAACCATGGGTCTCTGTGTGTTGTGGGCCTTCACTAGTGTAGTGAGGTCACAGCAGTAGACTCTCTTGATCCTCTTGAGGTCTGGTTGACAGTCATTGGGCACATATTTGGAACACTGTTTGTGTACATTCAACCCACAGTCTGTGAATAAAGTTTTGCCAGAATTAACGATTCCATTGATAGGTTTTGCTAAATAATGGTTTCATGAGCCTATACAAACAGGAAAATCCTCATCCCTCAGACAAAACCAGAACAAACACAAAACCACTTCACATTGCTCTCTAGTGACTCCTGTGGCTGACTCACTCAATAACATTGACAGGACTTGGTGACATCCAACACCTGGACGAGAGGGTCACTGCAATGCTGAGATTGTGAAGAGGATGGAGGATCCCTGAAAAAAGTTAGTGAGAAGAGCCCAGAAGATGATTATCTTGCATCAGCCCCAAAGCGTGTTAGGAAAAAAACAGGGTCAGGAACAAGGACTACACTCCAATGTACTTTTCACAGAAGTTTGCTTTCTACTGCAAAGCATTTCCAGTTCTGCTTCTCACTGATAGTGTGTGTAGAGGAGCAAAACAAAAGTGTGCTTGTTATTAACCAAGGCCCTTATGCTATAATCATTCTCCTCCTTAACATTCCTGAAATTATCACTGGTAAGGCAAATATACCTTTTGCATATTGATTACTGGCTGAACTACTAAAATTTTAAACAACTCTCTGAACTACTTGAAACACATCTCAATATTACGTTCCATAAAATGTCAATCAAACAAAATCAAATTGTCACCAAAAAATAAAAAATAAAAAAATCAAACCTTCTATAAGTTTAATGGAATCAGTTTAGTTTATTTGGTCTCTTCAGACAGAAACTACTGCATAATGCATTATTGTTCAGTGAAATCTAAGTAAATCTGGCCAACTGCATTTAGGATACTCCCTTTATTGTTTTCAATGTTCTTGCAAAACATTTCAGCTGAGGTTAAAAAAAACTTGTTTGTCTACTTAGAGTTAAATGTTGGTAATTTAATGCGGGAAAGTGTTAAGCTTCATACTAAATAAATAAGCCTTTTCATAGGTTAGATATTTTAAATTAGGGGAACAAATCCAACAATATTCATTAGATCCACACGGTTAATTTTTACCCATTTACACTGAGGATTAAATAGCCTGATCAGTAATGGTTATTCATTTTCCTTTTTTTATTTCATTTTTATACTCTTTGTCTTGCCTCTGACCCATCTGTAGGTAGAGAAGATGAAGTAGTAAAGTACAATAAGTGGGCCATGCATGTATAGATACTTTAAATTTATAAATCAACTTTTATCTTAAAGGACCCTCAAATTGCTATACAAATTTTATGTGGCGTCACTTCACCCACCCCTCAGATACAGTCTGATGTGGGGTTGCAAGTGGCTGCTGTTAATCGGTGCACTGTAACTCCCATAAGGTTAGGACAGGAAGTGAGAGGGAACGCTATCTTCAACTGAAAGTGGAAGGAGAATTTCGATTAGCAGAATGTAGTTACCAAAATTTGCATGTGATGCATCAACATTTTTTTCCATTCCTGCATCAAACAAAATCATGGAGTAATGGTTCTTGGTTTATTGTAGCAATGTAGCAAACAAATAGAAAAAAAAAATTTAAAACCTATTAAAAGGTTAACAAAGAAAAAGAAAAACCAGGAAATTAATTCTTTTGGAAATGAGGGTAACATTTTTTCTTTTCCACGAGGTAAGATATTTTGAGGTTTGTAGCAACATATGGTATTTTTATTGGTCAAAGGTGATCATCTTTCCCCAGAGGAGGACATTTTTCAAGAGTGAGTGGCAAAAAGATGAATTATGAAGTCTAGCTGAGGCTGGCTTTATGCCATCTTCAGATCTTGTTTCTTAAGATGTAAAAACATATAAACCAAAACCTGGCACTACCATAAGAAAGATGATTTACAGGATGCTGATGAAAAACCTAAACCAAAATACTGGGGCATACACATTGCCAATGTACTGTTATAAAGATGTCCATGGAGAGATGCCTCTACTTCTAAGCCAACTAAGCAGGAAAAATAAACAGGACAATATTTCTAAGTCCTTTGTTTAGAAAAAAAAGGATCAAGTTTCCAAAGGAAAATATAGCACCATCTTCTTCCCAATATGTTTACATATTCTTGTAAGGCCCTACAGGAGTCCAGAAACAAGCAGGATAAGTTTAAAAACAAAACAAAACTGGTGCTGCTAATTTCTCTGTTCTTCAGATATGAAAAGTGGAAAGATCTCCCTCCCTCTCCCCCCTTATTCTCCCTTGCTAACACTGGGACTGGATCCTGATTTCTGTGCAACTCCCATTCCTTATTGGTTGTTGTTAAAATATGTACCTAGTGCTCAGCACTTCTTGAAAAGGGCTAAACTACAGCAAATTCAGCCTTTGGACTAATTAGATAGCAATTTCTTGTTACATTTTATGAAACTGTCCCCCATTCCTCCCTCACGGAGCTTACCCTTTTATTTTTCAGAAGAAAGAACCAAGATAAATTAAATGTGTAAAGCTACCTGAACACCTGACTCCCTGAGCGATGAGCCCCCACATGAAATTGGCACAGTATTCACACCAGTGTGGACCTCGGAATGTGTAGACCTGTAATACAATCAAAAAAATGGGGTCATCAGGAGGCAGATGGTCTGACAGATGGAACAAGTAAAAGAGATAAACAACAAAGGACTCAGTAGGAGTAAGTCTTCAGCATACAGTACACACGTCTTTCCAAAGTCTGTATGAAATAAATCCTGGGAAAATAAATGTGCTTTGATCTTTATGTTCTCTTATCTCACAATAGGCCTATCATAACACAGAACTAGATACTGTATGGCATAGAAACAAATTACTTTTAAAACATTTTTTGTGTGCCAGTTGATGTGTATCTTTTGTGTCACCTACATTTAGTTCAGTGCAGATGCAGAAGTGGTAACTGGGTTTAGTCCACTATCAAAATAGACAAAAATAAAACAAATAATCCAAGGAGTTGTAGTCATTCCTTTTACTGGACTAGCTAAAATAAAATCAGAAAGCTTCAGAGATTCACCCACTCTGCAACAGACCATTGGAAAGAGAGGGAGATATTTTCTTCCACTGAATTCTCTCCGCTCTCATGCTGTGGCCAAATTCTGCTTTCCAATACGCTTTCACAACTATTATTGATTTCAGGGGGTCTTGACCAGGGTACTGAGGGCAAAATTTGCCCCCCCCCATGCAGCTTCAAAGTTCTAATATTTTGAATATCGCATAGGTATTCGTACAATAGGATTATGGCATGGCTCCATCATGTGGGCATTTGCACCATTTAAAAAAAAAGAATAATAAAGCAAAAGCCAAGGGAATAAAAAGGAGTAATGAACAATTTGTGTAGACATTCTAGGCAAAAGTTGGGCAATCATCTGCTTTTGCATGACTGAATCAATTACAGTCATAGGCAAACTACTCCCCCTACCAAACCATCTCAATAACTAAACTGATCTCATATAGACCAAAAAACAAAAACAAACAAACAAACAAAAAAATAGATCCTTATTCAATAAAGTCACACTCAGTCTCATTTTACTACAATCCACATATCAGTACAATAAGGGGAAAATGGCATGAAAAGAGCAGACAGAACACAGTTTCCTCAGCTGCCTTTTGCACAAAACACTTGCTTCACCAACTGCGTTTTAAAGAACCTATATTGGGGGATTTTTTTTTATTTAAAATATGGCTATCCTAGTGCAAAATTAACACTGGCACCTTTCGAGCCCTTTGCAATTGGTCTGGTACAATGTGCACTTAATTTTCATTGAACAGCATGGTAAATAGTCAAATATAGTCCTGTGTAAATGGACACAGCATGGGCTAGATCTGCCTAGAGACTTTATTTAACAAAACATAAATTGTGCACACTGAGGCTGCTAATGCTTCCTCTCTGTTGACTAACCCTTTACTTTCTTTCTTTCTTTTTTTTTTTTTTTAAATCCCCTGGGTACTTTGTTGAAAGGTCACTACTGGCTGGGGAAAACGTTTCTTACTTTAATTTTTAATAAAGTATATTTAGATGGGAAAAGTGCAGTTATTGCCCTTTTCCAAATAAATGATACATAATTTTCAAGCAAACAGACAACTTGCTAATATCATGGCCCTGCTATGTCTACAGCACCACTTACAGCATTATTGCATTTTGCATTAGTGTATTGCATCAGGAAATCACAGTTCATGCAATGAAAAGATTTGTCATGTTGTTATGAAATCAGAGGTATTTGTCTGAAAATAATACCAAACAAAATTGCACAAAAATACAACATACGTTATAGATTTTACTAACTGTCTTGGCCAAATCAATCAGGGTGACCAGATGTCCCGATTTTATACGGACAGTCCTGATTTTTGGGTATTTTTCTTATATAGGCTCCTATTACCCTCCACCCCCGTCCCAATTTTTCACATTTGCTGTCTGGTCACCCTAAAAATCAATCCCTTGTGTAACTAAAGGCTTCAATGGTATTGCACCATTTGCTCTCAAGTTCAGTGGTAACAGAACTTGTTTTAGTTGGGAATTGGTCCTGCTTTGAACAGGGGATTGGACTAGATGACCTCCTGAGGTCCCTTCCAACCCTGATATTCTATGAACAGCTACAAACATACTCAAATATTTCCATCCATTTGTCTTGGAAAACATGTATTAATTAATAAACCAAACTAATGCTTTTCCCCCCATTTTCCTGTTTCACTTTACTTTTTTTCTGAAACGAGTTTGTATTAATTGATAACATTGCTATTCCTTTGCAAAATGAAGTATTTTTAAATATCTTATTATCTTTCTAGTTTGATGATTAAAAACTACATTTTCACTTAGCATAGCTTGACAATAAATTACTCCTAATTATCCATGTCGTCAATAATTATGTAACTAATTGCAGCTGTAAAGCAATCGCTATTTAGCTTAAAGCAATGCTAATTTTTCCATCTCTTTTGGTACTAAAATGCTTAAACTGGAACATTTGACCAACTCAAATTATTATGTATGTGTTTCTGTCACTTCTTGTTCAATTCATAGGTTGTCTTACAGGGATCAGTTAACATGCATTTAAAGCTAGATCCCCAGCTGGTGCAAATAGCATAGCTTCATTGACACTGATTTACATCAGCTGAGAATCTTGCCCTTGGAGTTTTAGGCTTAAATTTTAAAATGTGGCCTCCAACATAATGTTGTAGGTACAAAATTGCAGATACAATTATCTATGACTGCAATGCTACCAATTTTAGATGTGTAACTATGTAATGTGTGGGTCTGCACTTACATTTAACTACAGGCGTGAAATTGTCTGTTTGAGGGATATGGCTAAACTTGAGATTCTCAGTATCTCTTGCACAAATGGGAAGTGGTCATTATTATTTTCAGCGAGGACCCAAACCTGAGAGTTGCTGAGCACCCTCATCTACCATTGATTTTGATGCCCCAAAATGTCAGTTAAATTTATTTATTTCATGTTACTTTCACATCTCCATGTTTTGGCTGAAATTACATGAGAAAGGCTGGTCTTGCAGCATTTCTGGTCTAGCTGAAACAGAGAAATACTGCTGTCTCACAAGTAAAAAGCATGATCTTTTGAGGTTTCTAGATGAAATTTCAGGAAGTTTGGATAAACATTAATGTAATTTAAGATACATATCTGAACTGTGTCTTCAGTTTGGCTGACCATTACTTTCAATGTCAATAAAAAAGAAGGGTCTGTATTCTTAAAAATAACACTTCAGCTCAGACTGACTCTTAAGACGGATGCTGAAAGTAAGACTTTGGTCACAGTAAATGAGAGTTTTGCCTAAGAAACGACTGCAGAACTGATCCCGGAGCAATTTTATACTGTGCAAGGGTTCCGAGGCAGACATAGTATTTTGAGATAGGATGATATTTTTTGTCTTGTACCCACGTCCCTATGATCACACCACTATCTACTGAATTGGGCATAGGCTTTTTGACGAATCATCAAGATAACTTTTTGAGTCCTCCCGCCCCCTTTCAAATTTTTGGACTGTTGAGTTAGTGTTGAGCTGCTTGTGCTGGTGTCCTTGCATACTGCCAACCTTTAAAAAGAAACAGCAAGGGACAATTCTCGATGTTAGCTGAGGTTTTGGGGTCAATATCCCCTATTCACCCCAATAATGAAGGGGTCTGATGTACATTCTGGTAAACTTTTTTCTTGTCTTTTCCCACCACTATTTAGCTGTAGAATGCAGGGGACTCAGTAGTATTAATATTGCGTAAGTGCTCAAAATGCCATCCCTTTGCTCCAAACTTACTGTCCAGAGATATGAGTTGTCTGTGAGATAGTTCAACAAAATGTTAGTCTAAAAATGTGTTTTCCTCTTATTCCCTTCTTTAGTTTCTTCTTTTCCCCTCTCCCACTGTCTGACTCTCTCTATTCATCTCCATGCCATCTCCTTTCATTTTCCGTATTTATATCTCCTTTCTTTGTATTATTCTCTCTCTCTCCAGTGCTTTCACTGAAAAGTAGTTTCTTCTTCATATTAATCCTCTCTCTCACACACACATATTACATTGTCTTCATTAGTGATGCTCTTCTCTGTTTCCTTTACTTTCACCTCTCTACTACCATTGCTTCCATACTGTCTCTTTAATGTCCCTTCCATCTTTCTCTGTGAATCTGCATGTGTACAAAGCTTTACACAGTCATTAATAGTTGCAATATCACTGTGAAGTAGGTAGTCTCTCTATTTCACAGATGAGGAAAATAAGGCAGAAAAGTTAAGTGATTTCACCAAAGCCACAGAGAGTGAATCCATTAACAACAACACTACAGCAGCAAATGAAGAACTGCCTTGGGAAGACATGTGTGCTCTTCATATGAAATATGCAGAGCTGCTTTCAGATAATTTTTTGGTTATCTGACCTGGTTTTGAAGCTTTTTTTTCTTTCGTATCAAAAAGAGAAGAAGAGATTTTCAGACTTTCAGTTGAAAGTAGGAACACTTTACCTCAGCTCTGGGGCCTGAACTGAATCCCTTTGAAATCAATGTCAGAACTCCCATTGGCTTCAGTGGGAACAGAATTGAATCCATTACCAGTTTTGTTTTGGGACAATGAAAATACCACTTCTCACAAAGGCGTAATTAAAAAAAAAAAAAAAAACAGACTCATGGGTGAAAAAAACATTGAGTGTACATGCCATAATTAAAACCCTTACTGCTCACTAAATTTTATATGTTGCAATGAACACTGAGGTCACTTCTAAGGTTCTACAATAATAATGGGCCAAATTCTGTCCTGCATTGGGCCCTGATACTACAATAAACTGCATGCTGTTCTCCCGAGGCATCTCCTTTGGTCCCCATTGATGTTCCTGGAACTCTGTGCTGGCACAGGGTTCAACAAACATTACTATCAATGTAGAATCGGGCACGATACCACTTGAAATCTGTGGTAATGGGAAATGCAGAAGACTGTGTAGTCTAATAAGAAGTGGGCGCAGAATCTGGTCCTATGTTAATTTCTGTTATAAAAAGTGAGATCTTGTTTTGTAAAAGGTAACTCTAGAGTATATGCCATTCCACGTTTGCTGTGACTCGACTAGCTCAGGCCATGTCTCAATG